CCCTCCCCCATTTCTGAAGAAGGGTCTAGGCCCGAAACATCAGCCTTCCTGCTCCTCTGATGCTGCTTGGCCTGCTGTGTTCATCCAGCTCTACACCTTGTTATCTCAGATTCTCCAGCATCTGCAGTTCTTACTATCTCTAAACCATCATGGGTTTGTGTGGATGTTGTGGTTATGTCACTGGATTGGTAATCAAGAGGCCCAGACTAATGTTCTGGGGACAGGGGTTCAAATCCCAGCACTGCTTTTAGTGGATAAGAGGTACTTGAATTTGTCCTGTTTTCAGCAAATAGGATGTACTTGGGCAATTTTCCACAATGCTGGGTAGATGCCAGTATTGTAGATGTACCAGAACAGTTTTGCTAGGAGCACAGCTAATTCTGGAACACAGGTTTTCCATACTGTTGCCAGAATGTTTTTGGGCCCTATAGCCTTGGCAGCGTCCAGTGCCTTCAGCCATAACTTGATATTACAAGGAGTGAATGGAATTGGCTGAAGACTGGCATCTGTGGCACTGGGGATCTTGAGCAGAGGTCAAGATGGATTATTTATTTATGCACTCACTGCTGAAGACGGTTGCAAATGCTTCACAGCCTTGTCTTTTGTACTGACGTGTTTGCTGCCCCATAATTGAGGATGGGGTTATTTATGGGGCCTCCTTTGCATATTAGATCTTTAATTGTCCACCACCATTCATAAATGGATGTGGCAGAACTGTAGACTTCGATCCGATCCATTAATTACAGGATCATTTAGCTCTGACTCCCCAAAGCCAGTCCACCATCTACAAAGCAAAAATCAGCAGTGTGATGGAACATTCTTCACCTGCCTGGATGAATGCAGCTCCAACAATTCAAGAAATTTGACACCATCCAGGACAAAGCAACCTGTTTGCTTACCACCATATTTAACTTCAATATTCACTCTTGATCACTGACACGCAGTGACAGAAACGTATACCATCCACATGATGCACTGCTAGAACTCACCATGGGGTCTCCAACAGCACATTCCAAACCAATGACCTCTATTAATTAGAAGTTCAAGGACAGCAGATGCATAGAAGCACCACCAACTGCAAACCACACACTGTCCAGACTTGGAATTATAATCGCCATTCCTTCACTGTTACCACGTCAAAAACCTGGAACACCTTCCTAACAGTTTTGTAGGTGTCCCAAGAATTGCACATGGCTCATCATCGTCTTGTAAAAGGATAATTTGGGATGGAAGCGAAGCCCACATTCCATGAACATACATATACTTTTAAAAAATCTGGACTTAATGCCATCTAATGCAACCAGACGAAGTGAGCCATTAGCAGTGGGCCCTTTGTGGCATTGCCCCATTGACGTATGCATGATGGAGTGAGGGGGACTAGATGCAGATAACGCCAACCCACAGTTAAAACTTGAGAGTCTGCGTCTCTCATTTGCTTGGCTAGCCTAAGCATAACAGACGTTAAACAAAAAATAGCTAGTTTGGAGTGTATGTACTTGAAAACTGAAACTCCAGCCTCCACCGTGTGCTGGGGAAGTGTCTGATGTAGACAATAAGCTGCGATGAGACGTTCAATGTTTGTTTGCCCAATTGTTGACACTGCTCATGCAATTATGTTCCAAATCTAAACAGAAGGAAACACGGGACTAAGATTTTAAATCTTACTTTCATTCCACATTCAAGATTTCCATCTGCAGATTGATGGGTTGTTTTTGTTCTTTTAAACAGCCTCCTGTGTACTTACCCTGGCTGCGTAAAAAGAAACTAAATATAGTTTTAAAAAAAGCACAGTATGTTGCAATTCATTTCGCGGTGAGGAACAATTCACAGAGAATAAAGAGGCCGCTTGAAAAGTACTGCTTGAAAAGTGTTTAGGTTAGAGGAGCAAAAAGGTGATTTGGAGATGCAGAGCTGTACAGATATAGAAAATGGAGAGTTTTGGAACAGGCTGTTGCCATGCACTAGATGGTTCAAATGCTAATATCTTAGCCTATTGAGCTAACCAGCTCCATCACAAAGCACATTTACCAGGATGACACCAAAGTTGGGATTGCAGTCTCTGGAGTACAGAAAGTTAAGGGGAAGAGTGGATTCATAATGGTGAGGGGTTCTGATAGAGCAAATGGGGTCAGATTGTTACCTATAATAAGTGGAACTGTTATCCAAAATTCACAAAATTAATTGGTTTAAAAAAAAAGCTAGAGGAGAAATGCAAAGAACGTTCTTCACAAATGGAATACACTACCTGAAAGACAGGGGAAGCAGATACAATAAGAAATTTGAAATGGCAATTGGGCATGCACCTAAAAATGGTGGATTTTCAGGTTTGAAACCGGGGTGCGAAATAAACTGGACAGCTTTAACAAAGAGCTGTTCCTCACCCGATGGTCTGAATGGCATCCTTCTTTGTTGTAGCGGTTTATGAAATCACAAGAAGTTTAATAGAGGCAATGAAAAAGGCAAAGCAAGAATTGTGATTCAATTCTAGATTACAGAATATAAAAACAGAAGTTATGTTGAAGTCATATTGATCTTTGGTTGGATAACAGTTGGGAGCACTGTGCATAGTTCTGTCTACCATTTATACAAAAAGATATAGAAACACCAGGGAAAATGCAACAAAAAAATTTATGAAGACTATTCCAGAACTAAATGGATACACTCATTGGGAAATAGTGAACAAGCTGGCTATTTTTCTAAAACAATGAAGTTTTCAAGATAATCAAAACATCTGATAGGTTTGATGAACAAAAGATGATTTCACATGTGAAGAACAAAACCAGGGACCGTAAATATAATTTAAATGCCAAAAGCTCCAATAGGGAATTCAGGAGAAATCTCTTCGTTAGAGAATGGATGAAATGGGGAATTTGCTATCATAACAAATAGGTAAATTGAACATTACTTGGGAAGCTAAATAAACAATTGAGGGAGGAAGGGATAGATGGATGTGCTAATGGTTTAAATTAAAACCAAAATGGATAAAGATGTGTTTGATTTTAATCCTCAGCGTAGACCAGTTGAGCTGATTGACCTGTTCCTGCTGTGTAGACATGTAATTAGTTTACATGATAAAGATGCAATCTTTCTCACCATATACCCTGCACTGGCTTCCAAGTTAGGCAACTGTCACCTGTAGAAAGAGAGCTGGTAAGGACAGGTGGGAGGGGAGACGAGTGCTTGAGCAAAGAACATTTTAAGTTGAGTTTTTTCCGCATTCACAAGAATCTTTGGGAATGACAGGTTCCATTTAGCATGGCAGCTACAACAGGAACTATGTTATGTGACGGGATTTATGTAATGCCTCCCACGTAAATACACTGTTGAGCAGGTACTTCCTGTAAATGGTTAACAGCTTAATTATGAGAAATAGAAAACAGGGGTTAGGGATCAATCTTAAGCTTTTGCTGAACATCAGTTGTGATGGAATTGCCTTTTCTCAATAAAATTAATCAAATAAACTGTGAACTCCAATTGATTTCCTTCATCTCAACTCATTTAACCATTAGCAAAGAAATATCTTCCATCCCTTAAGATTGCTCATACCTGACACCTTCTTAAGGAAAAAACATGGAGGTCTGGGCATGTCTTCAACAACTTCATACAGTGGCTGAAACAGTTGGAAGTGCTGCTCCTCACTCTCTGTCCCTGACATCGTATCAATAACCTGTGAGAACACATTTCAGAGGAGAGCTTTTAAAAACCAGCAAAACGTCACCCACTTTGTCACTTCAGCAACTGGTCCTCTGCTGTTTTGTAACAAAAACAGAACCAGGTCGGCCAATGTTTTTGCAAAATAAATCTAAACACCGAAGGCTTCTGCAATTCTAAACAGTTTTTGAACTCTTATATGACTCAAAATGAGAAAAATACACTTAACTTATCAGTACACGTTTAGAAAACGTTTTGCCTACAAAGTACTACAGAGACTCTTGACACACTTGTCATGTTCACAAATTAAAGGGATTCAATGGGCTTAGAAAGTAGTGTGAGCTTGGGCCTCTTACAGCACAGTATGCAGGTCCTTGCAACTTGCTGCGTAATTATGGCCTTAGGCATTGACCTCCAGGGAGTTATCTGCTTCTGCTGACTGATGGTCTTAAGGGCCTCCTGCCCCAACTGTGGATACAGAACATCTCTGCTCCTTAGCTCCGCTGCAGATAGCTCTCTAGCAATGTTTGAAAATACTGAGGGGGTGCACAGTCTCTGCTCAGAATGTTCATTTCCTGTACCTATCTAACCGCCTCCTCCAGCCACAAAGCATCTCCCCTAGAAGCAGTCAATACAGTGTGAGGCTGGAGGAATGCAGCAGGTCAGGCAGCTTCAGAGGAGCAGGGGAGTCGACGTTTTGGGTTGGGATCCTTCATCAGGAGTCGACATTCCTGCTCCTCGGATGCTGCCTAACCTGCTGTGTTCCTCCAGCTCCACACTGTATTGACTCTGACTCCAGCATCTGCAGTTCTTGCTATCTCCTCTTGAAGCAGTGCAGACTAGCTTTAGATAGAACTCGGGAAGTTATAGCATGGGCGCTCCTGCAAATGCAGCGAGTAAATGATAGGGCTGGCTACTTGCAGAAATCCTGAGCTGGCAGCATCACGTTAATTCGGCTAATTGTTTATTGCAGTCTCTGTTTTCAGGAGCTATTGAATTTAGCCCTGTTCGTGTTATGTCATTAGCATTACTTGTAAGTCACGACAACACTCTCCAACAATAACTGATATCACCTGAGATGATAGCTATGATGATAAAGCTGTAATGCCCTCTCAATCTGATTAATTGGAGGGCTAATGATGTGGGCATCCTCAGACTGAGTCGGATAACAAGTGATCTTTATCCCAATCAAATGCTCAGTTGCTATACCTCAACTGCATCATCAGTGCGGATGGACGACCCGGAGGGGCTAACAGTGAATTGGACGCCATGTCCAGATTCCTGATGGGAACGGTTAAAGATGCCAAGCCGCACAACATCTTCAGATGGAGCAGATGGAACACAGCGTAGATACACCTGATCACAGCCAGACAGGTCAATCTACTCAAGGATAGATTTTCTGTTTATGTCCTGAACGTTCTCAGTCAGATCCACCGATGTCAAACTGGCATCCTTCTCTGGCCACTGCCTCCTGCTGGCCAACTATCACTTACAGAATGACCAGTGGGCTGACAAGAGAACGTGAAAGCTGAACATGAAACTTTTGACTCCAGGACACATTGAGGTGCTCGAAAGGGATTGCACAGATCGGAGAACCTTCTCCAAGACTGCAGGAGACTGGTGGGAAACATTCAAGGGCAGCGCCAAGTGTTTCTTCATTCTCCGAGGAGCTCAGAAGGTGGGAAGAGAGAGAAACAGATGGGGAAAACCGTCCAAACTGCAGCAAAGCATGCAGAACCTACTCCTGCTGCAGCCAATGGAGGTCAGTGTCACGAAGGGTCACCAGGAGACAAAGAGCCAGCAAACCTCGCTCTTTGCCTCAGAGGCCTCCAAGTTAATCTTCTGGTCCAGGGTCTGCACCGTGGAGCAGGATGAGACATGCTCACGTTTCTTCTTCCAGAAGGTGCACAGAGAAAGCCATGTGCTCAGCAGCCAGAAGGAAGATGGCGGCTCAGTAATGTCATCTCAGTCTGACATCCTGAGGATCAGCAAATCCTTTTATACCAAACTGTGAGACACAAAGTCCAAGACAGTGCTGCCTCCCAGTCGTTCCTGTCATCTATCATGGAGATCTTAGATGACAGCATGCAGGAGAAGCTGGACCAGGCATTGTCTCTGGATGAGCTGACCAAGGCCCTCAAGTCTGTTGAAAAGGATTAAACTCTCAGAAGTGACGGTTGACTGTATTCAGCTCTGTGGAACCTGATTGGCCAGGACCTGCTGGAGGTGTACAATAGTATGTTTCTGTCAGGTAGCATGTGCAAATCCATGAAGAAAGGTATAAGCCCTCATCTACAAGTAGAAGGGCACAGGAAGGAAATTAGAAACTGGCGACCAATTTCACTGATGAATGCAGACGACAAAATCCCATCTAAGGTCATTACCAACCGGGTCAGGTCTGCTCTGGGATCAGTAACTCATCCCAACTGAACCTGTGTTATACCAGGCAGGACAATCTCCGAGAGCCTCGTGCTCCGCAGGGATACGATCACCTAAGTGGACTGGGGGGTGGACACCTGTCTCAACAGCCTGGAGAAGGCCTTTGACAGGATATTGCACACGTACATTTGGAACGTGCTCTGTAAAATGGGCTTTGAGTAGGCCATTTGCAGTTGGATCCAACTGCTGTACACCAACATTATTAGTGCAGTCTCAATCAATGGGTGTATATCAGAAAGCTTCCTGATCAGATCCAGAGTCAGGCAGGGGTGCCCATTCTCTCCTGCCTCGTTTATCCATCATATAGAGCCTTTGGCTGAGTCCATCAGGAAGGACGTGAGCCTGAGAGGAGTGACTATTCCAGGCAGCAGAGGCCTGCAGATCAAGGCCTCCCTGTACATGGATGACATTGCCATTTTCTGCTCCGCTCTGCTATCAGTGCGCAGACTCATGAACATCTGAGACCAGTCCAAACTGGCCTCAGGAGCCGAGATAAAATCGAGGCAACAGCGAGGCCTTGTTCTTTGGGAACTAGGCCAACTGATACTTTATCCCCTTCACCATCTGGACCATTCCGTACACCTGTCCTTCGTAGAGAAATTTGCAAAGGGAAACACCTTTGACCAATAGTCCATCACGCTGTAGTCAGCACACAGCATCCTCGAGATACTGCAGGAAAAGGAGAAGCTGGATCCTGTCGTGTGGTTCCTCGAGCAGGCTGTCAAAGTCTCCAACATGCACCAAGACACAGTTTGGGTGGCAATGAAAAGGGCATTAGCTGTGAGATCCTTTATGTACTCCCAGTGTTTGTATACCACCACACGCTGCCATTGAAGTGTGTCCTGGGGGGAGGGGGAGAAGGAGAAGAGGCTGTCACACATCTCCACCTGAAGAAGGGTTTTGGCCTGAAATGTTGACTTCCCTGCTCCTCGTATGCTGTCTGACCTGCTGTGCTTTTCCAGCTCCACATATATGGACTCCTTGTAACAATACTATGGCTTCATGGTGCTCTATGTCCTGGTTCCTTTCAAGGAGAGGTTTTAAGGCAGAGGTACCGAGCATTCTATGCAGAGCCATTAGAGTATGTGAGGCCTCGGTTTTCTTTTTTTCAAAAAGTTTGAACAATAGAAGCAGCCTGACTGGATGTGGTGAAGCTCCCCATAGAACCAGGGCTTTTAGCTTTTTAGTTTTTTGTAGCAGTTGCTGCCGAGGTCTAGAAGTAAAAGCTGCTTTTTCCTCTCTCAGTTAGAGGGAGAAGCTGGGGGGGTTCTCTTCCTGCTGCTGGAGTTGTGCGTGAGGTTATTTTCTGCATTTGCCTTTTGTCAAGGGGGTGTTTATGGGACATGATGATATTGGAAGTTACTGTTTAGTGGTAAAATAATCAGTTATTCCATTATATTTTCCAATAGAATTACAGCTAAGCTAATTCTTTCCTTTTTTTTGTATTTTAACTATAGATCATGAATAAAGTGTTTTGCTTCAAATCCGGTAGTTTGACCAATCGAATTGCATCCAGAACCAAACGCCTGGCACTTGCCTTTAAAACAAGAAAGAGTTAGTGTCTAAGCTATCTCCCTAATATATTCTGAAGGGGTTTGGTCTGGTCCATAACATCCTTCTGGAACGTGCCTCTGCAAACGAGGTCCGGAGAGAGGTGCGGCGGTTTTTGTTGAGGGTCGTCCCGAGCACTCTGAGACGCAGGACTCCGTGCTCTGCGGTCTGTTCCCCAGTATGCAAACCAAGACAAACATCGACTGCACCTGGAGGACCATCAACTCAGTGAAAAGGTGCTCTTTGGTCTGCCCGAAACTGCCTTCAAGTGCAAAGAGTTGACCTTGACCGAGTGTTGCAGACTGGCACATTCCAACGTCCAGGGCTGCATACTGATGGACCCATTAAGCCACAGTGAGGAAAGGCCACCATCTGAAGTCCTTCTGCTTAAGTTTAACAGGGGTCTGTTCAGGCATCAGACCTTCTCTCTGCCTCAAATGTATGTCAATATTGTGCTGCATGAGTAGGAAATGCCTACGGTTTTGTGCAACTGCAGGCCATGTAAATTCCAATGTATGTTTTATCTTTATATGCAAAGTCTGTACAGAACTGCTTTAGTACCAGTTTATATACATAAAGATTCTTTTATGAATACAGCATATTTTTGCAATGAATAAATGTAGCCAATCTAGACCCTGATCTTCCATAAACAATGTGGAACAATGAAACAAATACAATATTTTCTCATATTAACTCATCCATTTATTATTCAACTTCATATTACAGTTTGATCACATTACAATTGTTCCCTCTTATGTAATTTTGGTCATCTCTACCTCCAAAGACATTTAGTGTCTTCACCTAAAACAAATATTCTGAGTGTAAAGCATTTGGGCCATTATGATATACGTGGACCTCAACTGTATTATTCATAACTACAATTAGTTTTGCTTTTGGATTTTTGTAGTTTTCTCTACTACTCAATCTCCGTAATTCTCAGTTGACACAGCATATATAATTAATCTTCATCGAGCCACCAGAGGGTTTGAAAGCACTCTGGGCCTTTTACTGCAATGCTCCTTTTCACTGAAGATTTAGATCACATTCCCACTAACACAGATAAAACCAAGTGGCAAAACCATGAGAGTGAAAACTCATTCTACTTCAAGAATCAACCCACTTTACCCCTTGATGAGTTCTCACACTGTGCAGTATTTAAATTCCTCCATCAAAAGCTGCAAGAGTAAGCCATGCATTAACCAAATTAAAATTTCAAAAAGTGAATTAATGAATTCTTCTCGGAAGTGGAACATGATGGGAGTCTATTAATAAAACAATTATGCTTTCGTACACTCGGGCATTGCCAATATTAAACACACAAAAACTACCTCCTGTGCTGTTTTCTTTATCTCTTCGACATAAGTCATCATGGCTTCTTCTTTTGACAAGTTCCCCAGAGCTTTCCATGCATCCCTATAAGGAGGCAACAAACCTGTTTAGTTCCAAGGAGAGTTTCTTCCATGCCATGCATATCCAATCACATTAACAATAATCCCCAATTAGTGGAACAAATTAATAGTTGCAATGACATCATCTGTTCCAAACATGGAGCGCAATGACATCATCCGTCCCAAACACAGAGCGCAATGACATCATCCATTCCAAGCACATATAGTTCAAGCAACCGACTGTAAAATCACCACTCTCATTCCAAAGCAACCCAATTGAACTTCTTACAAACCACTTCAACAGTTTTTCCATCCTCTAACTAAAGTGTTGTGGATCACAATATTTAATAAGCTATAAAAATATTACTTAATTCAATTAGAAGATTGGTTTGTTTTGTTAAAAGAAAATCAAAAATGCTACGTGATGAGTTACTAGATTGCGAATGTTGCTACTTTTTCTAAAAAAATAAGTTAAGAAACCGCTTTAACATTTCATTCTGCATTGCATTCTAGCTACGATTAATTCACCTTGCACTTCTTTGCAGAATTCCTGCTCTAAAGTTGCTTATATTATTTTTCAGATGTCTAATGCAAAAGCCTGTCTCCTGGACCAACTCAGAATAAGGTACAGGTGGTGGTGGGACACAAGTGCAGCATCTCTTGTCACACCCCTTCAGCTACCCTCAACTTTCTGCTCAAAAGTTTTTTTGGCTTGCAAGTTTCTGGAAATACATATTGCAATACAAAGCAGCACTTCATGACTCAAAAGATTTAAAGCTGTTGTTCTGTCATGTTTCCTAAATTGTGGAAGAGAAGAATAATTCAATTCTGAACTCTCCCTTTTCATCAGATGAGTGAAATGTCCTGATCCTGTGATCCAAACATCTCAGTACAGGCATGAGCTTTCAGCTAAAGAGGATCCACAGCTCTTAATATGTGTTGAGCCATGTCCTACCACCAGTGGGTTAGGGGTTGCCATATTTTGCACAGCTGGTAGGTGAGAACTTAGTTGTGATTTACTCTTTTATGTTGGAAGTCAAAACAAAGATCACATGTGATTCTTCGTTTACTTCAAAACTGCCAGGTGACCAATATTATTTCAGATGTTGAAGAAATTAGGTTGTCATGTTAAGGAATGCAGCCAGGTCAAGGATGAACATTGAAGAATGCCAGGTTAAACGAATATTCTTCAGAACAAGAATCCTTGACTTGTTTTTCGGCTTGGGACCGGAGAAACAGTTTAGGCCTTTTCTTCAAGAGATTAAATGGATTAGGTGTCACAATTAAAATTTACAAGTTCACACATTGTCCTGAAACAGAACTGATGGGTTGAAAGGGGCTCTTTTTTGTTTGGTGTTCTTTTATAAAATAACTGCCATTGATAAGTGACAGAGACGGTGTTTGTGATAAGCACACATAATGAAATGCAAGCAATTAATCAGGCCATGAGTTTGCCAGCCAGAACTTGAAGTGTCTCGAATTGGTTAAATGGGACGTGCCCTGTGGAGAGACAGTGTGTACTTTATATCAGCAAACTCTACAAGTGGTGATTCTTCAGTCACTTGCTTCAGACCGTCTTAAACATGCCAACCAGTTCCCATACACATCAGACATCCAGCCAACCCCAAAACATATTTACCTACACAAGATTAAAGACAGCTTCCAAGTTAGTGTTCTTAACTGTGTCATTAGTGAATATTATTTTGCAACATTAGAGTAACACTGGAATTGATTGGAGGATGTTAAATTCATTTTTGATTTTGTAATTTACTAAAAATATTACAGATATATGCTAATTTATAATGGGAAGGCTCACAATCGTTCAGTAAAGCACATCTGTTTCAATTTTTGCAGTTTCTTCGATTTTCCAAAGCTCATAAAAAGCACAATAAAATGCAGACAGCTGGGCTTACTGACAAACTCAAGAGTCTCCATACTAAATACTGTAAATTAACATCCCTGGCAACAAATATTTTACTACCTTCACACCCACTTCAAACATTTAATAGAATTTAAAGGTTACCATTTTACACGTCCAATAGGATCCCAGAAGCCAGGCCTGCTAATATTACATGGGCCAACAGTTGCCTGCTTGTAGTAACTGTAAAACTTCAACATCTTCTCATGGGATGGACGGTAAGCACCTGGTGATAGAAGGCAAAATTTAAAAAACGCTGCTTTTCGAACATTTTTAATTCTATTTTTCCCCATGTGTTGGGCAAATAGGAGGGCAAACAATTCAAACCCAAGGCTTCCACCGTTGTCAACACCCTTGACCCATGTCCATTTCATAAAAGTGTTATGCTGTAAATGCATGAAAAAAAAATTGCTCCCTTTTTCTTTAAGAACAATGGAAAATGGACAATCTGCAAACTAATAAGATGGAGTCAAGGGTGTTGGCTAACCTCCCTCCTTGCTTACCAATATACAAAAGTCTGCCCAAAGCTGGGAGAATCCTGCCTTTCCGCTCAGCATTTAAAATATGAATAAACAACACTTTGGAACATTGTTAATGTTTACTAAAAGAAATAGCAAAATATTGCAGTTGAGGAGATCTGAAATAAAGGCAGAAGTTCTGAAGAAGGACCTTATTTGACTTGAAAGGTTAACTCTGTCTCTCTCTCCACAGATTCTGCCTGACCCGCTCTGATGAAGAATGATCCAGACTCGAAATGTTAGCTTGCTCTCTCTCTATGGATGCTGCCTGACCCGCTGTGGTTCCTAGCAATTTTTGTTTTCCAGTCAAAAGTGCAACAGGTCTCCCTTTTGGATGTGACAGCTGGTATTGTCCAAATGCTTAAATATACAAGGACCACATCAATGACCACACAGGCATAGTGGCCAGAATGAAATTTCACAGAATGTGTGTGAAGAGAAACCATTCTATCACAAGGAGATGCAAATGGACAGATTTAAATACTAAATAAAAACCAAAAGAACTGCAGATGCTGTAAATTAGGAACAAAAACAGAAGTTGCTAGAAAAGCTCAACAGGTCTGGCAGCATCTGTGAAGAAAAAATCAGAGTTAATGTTTCAGGTCCGGTGGCCCTTCCTCAGAACAGATGTGTGGACAGATTTAAGTCCCACTCTGTGTCAATACTAAATTTGTCAAAAACACTCATTCAGACAATTTGAGCACTGCCACTATAGTCACCTGACAGAACCAATTTGCAACAAAGAACATTTATTGACACGCATCTTGAAAGCAACTTCAGATTATCAGTCAATCTCGGAGAGAAACAGACCGGAAGAAAGAGATCCTACACAGCAAAGGAAGAACTGTTCTGAGAACCCACAAAGTAGAGAAGTGGGGCTAGACTTTCACCTGGTTATTTGCAGATCCAAATCAGATCTTTGCTACAAGGGCTCAACTACTCTTTCAATTGCAGCAAAGGCAGGACTCTGCACTTGTAACAAGTAAGCTACTGTGAATTCATCACCAAAATGTTCCAACCTTCATTTTCTTCAGGGAACTAAAAAGAAATAATCAGCTCTGCAACATTTCCAGCTTCCATCTCGAATAAACAGGAGTAGTAGTGACTTAGTGAACTCTTTAGAAACTTAAGTGCATATTACCTCTTCCATAATCAATTTTTCTTTCGTGTGCATATGAGGGCGTTGTTGCATTTACATTTAGGTGATGAGAAAATAAACATTTTTTTTAAACTTATAAACAAAAACTTTCAGTTTTGCTCAAGACTCACAGTGCTCAAGGGGTTAAACACTTCCTCTTTAGACCATAAGATGTAGGAGAAGTCGGCCTTTTGAACCATCAGACTTGCTCCGCCATTCAATGAGATCATGGCTGTTCTGAAAATCTTCAATTCTATTTCGCGGTCTTATCCCCATAATCCCCGATTCCTTTACTGATTAAAAATTTGTCAATTCAGCCTTGAATATACTTAATGACCCAGCCTCAACAGCTTTCTGAGGTGAAGAATTCCACAGGTACACTTCCCGAAGAAATTCTTCCTAATCTGTTTCAAATGCACGGTCCTTTACTGTCAGTTTATGCCCTCTGGTCCTAAGGGAAACGTTTCCCCCACGTCTACCCTGTCAAACCCTCTGGAATCTAGTATGTTTCAATAAGGTTGTCGCTCATTCTTCTAAACTCAAAGGAGTACAAGATAAACCTACCCGACCTCTCCCCAAAGGAAAATCCCTCCATACCTGGATTCAACCTAAAATCATCTTGTGCAGACAGCCTTCAATGCCAGCATACCTTTCCTTACAGAAGGGGCACAAAGCATTCTAGGTATGCGCTGACTGGTGCTTTGCATAGTTTTAACAAGACCTCCCTGTTTTTATAGTAGACAAACAGGAGGCTAGAAGAACACAGCAAGCCAGGCAGCATCTGGAGGAAAGGAGAAGTTAACATTTCAGGTATTACCCCTCTACCTTGGATTCCAGCATCTGCAGTTTTTTTTTGTCTCTTCCCTCCTTGTTTTAACACTTCATTCCCTGTGAATTAAAGGCCAGTCCATTTGTCTTCTCTATTACCCAGTGAACTTGCACGCCAGCTTTTTCTGCTTCATGCACAAGGACCCCCCCCCAATTCCTGTTTGGTGGCTATGTGCAGTCTTTATCCATTTAAATACTATTCAGTTCTCCCATTCTTCCTTTTAGTATGCATAACCTCACATTTTCATAAATTATATTCCATCTGCTAAGTTTTGCCTACTCACTCAACTTGTCTATGTCCCCCTATAGACTTTTTGTGTCAAACTCATCCACTTGGCTTCCCACCTTTTGTTTTAAATCATCCACAAACTTGGCGACAGTACATTCATTTCTGTCATTCAAGTCATTATTATATATTGTAAATAACTGTGCCCCTGCACTGATCACTGTGGCACTCCACTAAGTACAGGTTGCCATCCTGTAAAAATGCCTCCCTAAGCCCAATTTTGTCTCCTATTAGTTAACCAATCCTCTACCCATGCTAATGAACTGCCCCAGCACTGTGGACTCTTAAGTACCTTAACGCGTGGTAATTATAACCCATTTAATAGAGTTAAGGGGTAGGTAAAAAGGGGAACCTTGCTATCTTTTCCCTATATACAACAGGCGATACAATGTGAGACTTGCCAGTTTGACTTAGACATATCTACTCTTTAATGTTATGAAGTGCTGTAATCACCAGTTCAGTCAACAAAGCAAGAGGGCTTGAGCTGAATACTTTCCAGCTGGTAATCAAATACAGTCATTTAAAGTTCCAAACACTCTCAATTCACAATACTTGACAATGGAGGTGAAAACAAGCCAGATCTGTAACCAAGGAGATGAAAATTTTAGGCTTACGTACTGGGAAAGACATTACAGAACCGGGGCAGGAGCGAGAATGTGGCACACATCCAAGTGAGTAGCGTAGCTATTTGCACACACTCATTTTCAGTTGTCATGGCAATCAACTAATGAATAACTGGGATGCTTGATCTCACAATTCTGCAAATATGAGAATCAGTTACACAAAGCAATGAAAGAAGGTTAAATCAGAAAAAATTGGAAATTTAAATGACTTAGGAGTTAGAAACAGGGGCACCCAAGATAGCGTAAAACACCCTGCATGTGTAACTTTATCGGTGACCACTGGTCCAACTTTTTAACTTTGGAAAAAGGATTTACACTCATATTTTGTTCTCCACCTGCCTCCCACTGTGATTTTTCTTTTCACCTTCCTTTTTATAACATGGAATTTCATCTTCAATGGCTGGATGTGTGAGCATCATCTGCACAGTGCAGGATGGATTTGGCAGCAGAAGTTCTTGCTCCTTGCCCCAAGAAGTAACAAGAACTGTGAGGTGTTCATCAACCACAGGCTCTCCACACAAATTGCAAGCTTTACCTCAGGCCCAGATGGTGTCAGTTCTCACCTCCACAGAAAAAGGTCACGAGTTTAAACTGCTTCAGCACAAAATCCAGACTCGTGTTTTCATGTAGCACTAAGGCAATGTTTTATTGTGAGGGGAGCCATCCTTCAGACCAAATGTCAAGCTGTGTACTGTTCAAATCGGCCACAAGGGTGAAAAATTTTTTCCTCACATCTTCTCTAAACTTTCTGTCTCTTAGTTTAAGTCAATGCTCCCTTAGTTTAAAATCAATGATCCCTCCATCAAGGGGTAAAGTTCCTTCCTGCCTACCCTATCTATCCTACCCCCTCAATTTTATACAACCTTCATCCACCAAAAAAATAAGTTTCATTGAAGTTGGTTGTTACTTATGTGGCGCTGCTGCAAGCAAAGTGGATGCTTTATTTATCACCTAGCTGTATGATGCTTCTGAGATGTGATAAGGAGTTAAAGCAATACAAAGTTTTTCTTTATCTAGTACCTCAAAGTCACACATAAATCATACTATACACAGCACAACTTGCTGTTGAGTGACTGAGGAGGATTTGACTCCTGCAAAAAGGTTGCATTTTCCCCTCTGATTCCCCCCAACTCTGGACAAAGGTACAAGATTTCACAAGGGGTACAATGAACAAAGAAAGCAGCCAATTCACCCTGTCCTGAGACATTCAACAGCTGGCTAAGCTGTTTAAATGTCTGACTGTCACTGTCAGCAACAAGTAGTGCCAAGCAGTCTGAATGGCCTTTCTAAAGGGTGCAGATCCCCTCTTAATCCCACACAGGGAGAACGGCAAGTTGCCTCCTCTCTCAGACACACACAACTCAGATCTTTTTTAAAACAAAAATACATATATACCTTGACTGTTGTTAAAATACCTTAATTGTTTTCCTATTTAAAATTTCCAAACTGACTTCATGAACTGCATTATAATATTAACAAAAATTGCAGCTTGTTGTAAATTATTTTAAAACTGAGAAATGTTAACTTTAATGGCACTAATAGTTCATATCATCACTAATTTGCTGTCACTCACTGCCACTTAAAATCTGACACTTATGATGAAAAACTGTTTTGATAACAATTATTCTACTCTGTACAGAGCATTAAAAAAAAATCACAAAGTAATTAAGTTTGACAAGTACTTAGAGATATTTCGACGTGCTAAAGAGCACTTTCTTTTCTCCCTCCAATGTTTCCTTGACTCCCAGAAATTCTAAGTCAAGTTGGGCTATTTACATTCACTCTCATTTCACTAAAGTAGTAGTAACCTCAGTGTGATTTAGACCGCAGGAT